GCAGTACAGTCAGAAAGCAGTTTAGTAGTTACTCCGGCGGGCCCCGTTGGCAATAAATTAATACAACCAAACGCTTACCTTTACTTGGAAGAGTTCCAGTGTTGGATAGCCATAGCCAGCCAGCAAAAATATCATCCCTCTCTGTTTCGGGTGTTTGAGTAGGCTAAACTAGATAGCTGCATTCACTAGCTAAGTGAAAGTAAAAATAAATAAAAATACTACCAAATATGGCTAGCTTGCTCTCTCACTCTCTCTCTCTCTTGCTTAATTTTGGAAGACATTAATTTGTTCTAAACTGTTCAACTATTTTCTTTCTCTCTCTTTGAGTCAGATAATCACCACATTTATGCACTGCAGTGTTAGCTAGCTCTAGCTTGTAATTTCAGTACTAGATTCATTCTCTGATACTTTGATTGGGTGGACAACATGTCAGTTCATGCTGCAAGAGCTCTGATAGGTTGGAGGACGTCCTTCGGAAGTTGTCATAATTACTGTGCAAGTCTATGGAAGGGGATGAGAACCGTGAGCCCCCTACGTTTTGTATTGAAGTCAATATACCCAGAGGAGGACAGACGCTACTGTAGCTGTCCTCCAGCTACACCATTGTGCTACCCTACAGCGTGCTGCTGAAGCTACTGTAGACCTTCATTGCAAAACAGTGTGTTTTAATCAATTTAGTGACGTGAATGTATTTTGTATATTTCTATTTAAAATGATAAATTTAATGTTTCATGTTTCACTTTTTGTTTTTATGAAATTCACTGAGAAGGATGGCCCTCCCCTTCCTCCTCTGAGAAGCCTCCACTGCAAAAAAAATTATACTTTTCACCAACAGCCGCAACTCAATACTCAGCTAGGCCTATTACCACGTGCGCTGCCCAAATTGCGGGCTTCCAAAATAGGCATAGCCCTACGAGCTTATGATTTGAAACAATCCACAGCTATTGATCCTTGATTCCTATGTGGCTAAGTCATGATTTCTGGTGAAGTATTTCGAATGATTTTCTTTCTGTATAAACAGGAGTTTATTTCCATGTACTTCCCTATTGGACCTGCTATGCCATTTCTCTTCTATTGGTTTTCATATCAACTTTCTTTCATTGTCCAGAAACCAAAGGCACAATCCTGGTCATATTAGCAACCCATCCTAGTCGTTGCATCTTTAGAGCCCCCCATTTTCTAAGTTTCTAACTTGCTGTCCCATATGGACCTGCTATCAGGTGTGCTGTTTAGGGTGGGTTTTCCTGCCAATTGCATTTAGGCAAATATTTGAAAATAAGGATTTACTGACTGCTTCATTACATGAGTTGCATGTTCTGTTAAGATGCATTACCATAAGCTGTACCCAGTAGGTTCCTCAGGTCCTCTGGCACTGGCCTTTTAACTATCCCAAAGCCTAGGACCAAGAGGCATGGAGAGGCAGCCTTTAGTTATTATGCCCCCAGCCTCTGAAATAGCCTGCCAGAGAAACTGAGGGAGGCCGAAACTGTGGACATATTTAAAAGAGTTCTTAAAAAAATATATATATTTGCTTTTCCTTAGGTTGCTTTTTAGTTCAGTTTGTGTCATTCTTAGTTTTTTTATCTTATGTTTGTTGTGTGAAATGTGCTGTATAAATAAAGCTTGATTTGATAATCTAATTGTGATTTCTGTCATTCTGAGCACCGTGTGTGGATGCCCTCATGGGTAAAACATTTCAAATGGCCGGTAAATAAAGTATTCCTGGTCACGTTGTCCAGCACCACATTTTCCTTACGGAAACCCTGACGTTATAGTAGTGGCGAGAGGGCAGAGAGAGAGGGAGTCCCAAATAGCACCCTATTCCCCATATATTGCACAACTTTTGACCAGAGCCCTATCAGGGCTTCAGACTGCAACCATTTAGTCGCACTTTGCGCCCCTTTTACTTTACTTTTACTGTGCGAGTGACATTTTTAATTGCTAGCATCAATGCGAGCAGCACATTCTACATGGTCACCTCACTCAAAACATAAAACATGTTTAGGTGGCTAAAACCATGATTTGGTTAAACAGTAAACTACATTATCCTCATGATTCCTGAGGTCTTGGCTGATTTCTTTGGATTTTCCCATGATGTCAAGCAAAGAGGCACTGCGTTTGAAGGTAGGCCTTGAAATACATCCACAGGTACACCTCCAATTGACTCAAATGAGGTCAATTTGCCTATCAGAAGCTTATAAAGCCATGACATCATTATAAAGCCATGACATCATTTTTGGAAAAATTACTTGTCATGCACAAAGTAGATGTCCTAACTGACTTGCCAAAAGTATAGTTTGTTAACAAGAAAGTTGTGGAGTGGTTGAAAAACAAGTTTTAATTGCTCCAACCTAAGTGTAGGTAAACTTCCAACTTCAACTGTACATTCATATACAGTACCAGGCAAAAGGTTGGACACACCTACTCATTCCAGGGTTTTTCTTTATTTTTACTATTTTCTACATTGTAGAATAGACCATGGTGCTTGCCTATAGAGCAGCAAGAGGAGCTGCCCATCCCTACCTTCAGGCTATGTTCAAACCGTACACCCCAACCCGAGCACCCTGTTCTGCCACTTCTGGTCTCTTGGCCCTCCCTCGCAGCTCCCGCTCCGCTCATCCCAGTCTAAGCTCTTCTCTGTCCTGGCACCCCAATGGTGAAACCAGCTTCCCCCTGAAGCTAGGACAGCAGAGTCCCTGCCCATCTTCCGAAAGTACCTGAAACCCCTACCTCTTCAATGATTATCTTAAATAATCCCCCTCCTCACCTTGACCCCACCCAAAACATTTTTTCTTTCAGAAGCAACACATGCACTTGACTCCAGCCACTCGGGGGTGGGTGGGGGGGGGGAGCGCAGCATTTGGCCGGGGCACTGAAGAGGCTAAATCAATTTGCTGAGCTGCTGAACACTGCTTTGTGCCGCATAGTCCAACGCTACCTGCCCCCATTACATAAGGCAGCATATTATTTATTTTTGTTGCAAGGCATCTTCCCTCAGCTTTATATAACTGTGATGATGATTTAAAAAAAAATTACAAAAAGTAATTGTTATTAATCTGATTTAAGTTAGTTGTTACAACAGGGTCCCTTAACAACGATAACGATCTCTCCATTCTCACACTCGAGAGCAACAACACTGAAGTTTATTCAAATGTGAATCTTAAACATAAGGAACAAGCATGCAAGGGAGTGAGACGGATAAAGGGAGAGAGAATGAAAAGGGGGGTGGGGGTAGCGATTCGCGAAAGAGAAAGCGAGCAGCTTCATACTGGTAAAAGATTTGGCAACACGTCGTTGGAAGTTGAATTTTAATGAAAGGCAGACAGAGAGCTTTTTTTCTTTTACGAGTTGCTATGATTTAAAGATCAAGTGTAAGTTTGGAGCTCACTGACTCTCTCTGGGAACAATCAGAACACACAGTCACTCTATGAGCTCATGTCAGTCTCCTGGGAGATGACCTCATGAAGGCCCAGCTAGCCCACCAATGGCCTCAACACACACATGTGTATTACATATCGCATTGGCTAAAAAAACCTGCAGGTTGTTCTATGTGCGTCCCAAATAACACCCTATTCTCTATATAGTGTGCACTACTTTTGACCAGAGACCCAGGTCAAAAGTAGTGCACTATAGGGAATAGGGTGCCATTTGGGACAGATCCCTAGAAATGAATAGTTTTTCAAACAGCATTTTTCAAAATTTGGCATTGAAATGAACTTTATGTCCTGAATACAAAGCGTTATGTTTGGGGCAAATCCAACACAACACATCACTGAGTATTTTCAAGCATGGTAGTGGCTACATTATGTTATGGGTATGCTTGTCATTGGCAAGGACTAGGGAGTTAAAAAAATTAAAATAAACGGAAGAGAGCTAAGCACAGGCAAAATCCTAGAGGAAAACCTGGTTCAGTCTGCTTTCCAACAGACACTGGGAGACGAGTTCACCTTTCAGCAGGACAATAACCTAAAACATAAGACCAAATAGTTGCTTACCAAGATGACTTTGAATGTTTGAGTGGCCTAGTTACAGGTTTGACTGAAATTAGCTTGAAAATCTATGGCAAGACTTGAAAATGATCAACAACCAACTTGACAGAGCTTGAAGAATTTAAAAAAAGAATAATGTGCAAATATTGTACAATCCAGGTGTGAAAAGCTCTTAGAGACATACCAAGATGGACAGCTGTAACTGCTGCCAAAGGTGATTCTAACATGTATTGACTCAGGGGGATGAATACTTATTTTTGAATACATTTGCAAACATTTCTAAAAACTTGTTTTCACTTTGTCATTATGGGGTATTGTGTGTAGATGGGTGAGAGGAAAAAAATGTTTGAATCCATTTTGAATTCCGTCTGTAACACCACTAAATATGGAATAAGTCAAGGCGTATGAACGCACTGCATCTCTCCTTCCTATTAAACAAGTTAAAGCTGTTGTTTTAATCCATGATTTAAAAAAAGCAATTGGCCTATATAGTGACAAAAACACAGTTAAATCCCTGTTCCTGCTTGGAACATCTCAATATCAGCTGTTTTTTTTGCTGGAACAGAATCCTAGGGTGCCTAAAATTGCTGTTAAATGTAGGAAAATGATTAGCATGTACAGGTGCTGCTGTGCAGGGAATATATTTTGCCCCCCTATTAGCTACCACCCCCCCTCTTTGCACACACATTTGCATGTTCTAATCTGGAGCTAGCGTTAAATCTCCCCCTATAGGTAGTCAGTCTGTCTTGACTTCCTGTGAATCAGCCACCTGACGTGTCTCGTTCTCTCTCGCTCTCTCTCTCGCTCTCTCTCTCTCAGTAGTCACTGTCTGCATCTCCCCCTGTTCCGATCTGTTCCCTTCCATCCTTCCTTCACCTCTTATCACTCTCTCACTCAGTCAGCCAGCCAAATGTGCCCAGGCAGAACCCTCCATATTGTCTATGGGCAGAAAAACTCCAGGTGAAGGTGGGTAATAATATGAAGTTAACCATTTCATTTCCCCTTTGTTAGATTTTGGCTTTGGGAACTTCTTCCAGCCCGGGAAGCCCCTGGCTACATGGTGCGGAAGCCCCCCCTACGCCGCTCCGGAGGTGTTCGAGGGACAACAGTACGAGGGGCCCCAGCTGGACATCTGGGTAAGGCAATGCTCTTGTTTGCGTACTAAATGGCATCCCTATTCCTTCAATAGTGCCCTATTAGCCTTGGTCCAAAGTAGTGCACTAATATAAGGAATAGGGTGCCATTTGGGACACATACCTGCTCTGCGATGAGTCACACATACTGCTACTAGTCCCTCGGTGTTACACACTGAGTGTCCCAGAACTGACTGTACATTGTCTTTGACACTGGACCTACTGTAATCATGGACAATTAGAAGCAATAGTGAGGCCAACCAATGTGCTTCAGACCAGATTAAACAAAAAGAGAACCGGGGCAAAGCGTTGCATCCCAAATGGCACCCTACTCCCCACATAGGGCTCTGGTCAAAAGTAGTGCACTATCAAAAGCAGTGCACTATATAGGGAATAAGTTGCCATTTGGGATGCAGCCAAGGTGCTCAACTGAGAGAAGGTGGGATTTTTTTTTAATGATACTGGACGTGATTGCGTTGGGGATCTGATTGTGAATCATCAACCCTAGTCAGCGGATCAACTGTTTGCTTTCCCCCTAAGCCTTGCAGTGATAAGTGTATGAGAATTACATCTTGCCATAAACCAAATAACCACAAAGGTGACCTGAAGACATCATGTGAGAGCATAAGATTTCCCAACCTCTTTTTATAGCCCTGTTTTTATGCCTTTGTACCTGATTGATCTAGTTATGTGAGTGTAAGGATTTTTCCCACAGCAGCCCATGACCTAGTGTGTGTGTCTGTCTGTCTGTGCTCATTGTGGGTGCATGGTTGTGTCTCAATGTAGAGTATGGGGGTGGTGCTGTACGTGCTGGTGTGTGGCGCCCTGCCCTTCGACGGCCCCACCCTGCCCGTGCTCCGACAGCGCGTCTTGGAGGGTCGCTTCCGCATCCCCTACTTCATGACAGAAGGTGAGACTCAATAACATAGTGCTTTACACCCCAAAAAAGCCTGAAGTGACACCACTGCTCCTATGAAAAAACACCATCCGAAGCCAAACAGCAGTCTGTGTTGTTGGAATGGGGTTTGTTCACTGGTGAATACCAGCAGAGGACATTAAAGGGACAATCCGGGATATGAAAAACAACAAAGTGGTCACCCCACCACTTGTTTTAGTAAACTGCTGAGGGATGGGGCTGTAGAAATATAACCTCGAATCAATGGCTATATATTGTTCATTTAAAAGTACCCAAAAATGTATGTACCAATCCCGGATTACCCCTTTAACTGGCTGCTTGGAGCTCTTCAGAATCCACTATCTTGTGTCTCACCACTGCACAGGGGTTTAGCATGCAGGGAAAGCATAGACCACTTTTGAAGTGATGCTCAACTGCCCAGCATGACATAAATACCTGTTCAAAACACCTGTCCAAATGGAACCCATTTACTACTAGGGCAGGGAATTGCCAGGGACATCACAATACTCTCTCTCTCTCTCTATATATATATATATATATATATATATATATATATATATATATATATATATATATATATATATATATATATATATATATATATATATATACACACACACACACACATACATACAGTTGAAGACGGAAGATTACATACACTTAGGTTGGAGTCATTAAAACTCGTTTTTCAACCACTCCACAAATTTCTTGTTAACAAACTATAGTTTTGGCAAGTCGGTTAGGACATCTACTTTGTACATTTCCAACAATTGTTTACAGACAGTATATTTCACTGAATCACAATTCCAGTGGGTCAGAAGTTTACATACACTAAGTTGACTGTGCCTTTTAAACAGCTTGGAAAATTCCAGAAAATTATGTAATGGCTTTAGAAGCTTCTGATAGGCTAATTGACATCATTTGAGTCAATTGGAGGTGTACCTGTGGATGTATTTCAAGGCCTACCTTCAAACTCGGTGCGTCTTTGCTTGACATCATGGGAAAATCAAAAGAAATCAGCCAAGACCTCAGAATAAAAATTGTAGACCTCCACAACTCTGGTTCATCCTTGGGAGCAATTTCCAAATGCCTGAAGGTACCACGTTCATCTGTACAAACAATAGTACGCAAGTATAAACACCATGGGACCACGCAGCCGTCATACTGCTCAGGAAGGAGACACGTTCTGTCTCCTAGAGATGAATGTACTTTGGTGCGAAAAGTGCAAATCAATCCCAGAACAACAGCAAAGGACCTTGTGAAGATGCTGAAGGAAACAGGGACAAAAGTATCTATATCCACAGAAACGAGTCCTATATCGACATAACTTGAAAGGCCGCTCAGCAAGGAAGAAGCCACTGCTCCAAAACTGCCATAAAAAAGCCAGACTACGGTTTGCAACTGCACATGGGGACAAATATTGTACTTTTTGGAGAAATGTCCTCTGGTCTAATGAAACAAAAATATAACTGTTTGGCCATAATGACCATCGTTATATTTGGAGGAAAAAGGGGGATGGCTTGCAAGCCGAAGAACACCATCCCAACCATGAAGCACAGGGGTGGCAGCATCATGCTGTGGGGGTGCTTTGCTGCAGGAGGGACTGGTGCACTTCACAAAATAGATGGCATCATGAGGAAGGAAAATTATGTGGATATACAGTGGGGGAAAAAAGTATTTAGTCAGCCACCAATTGTGCAAGTTCTCCCACTTAAAAAGATGAGAGAGGCCTGTAATTTTCATCATAGGTACACGTCAACTATGACAGACAAATTGAGAGAGAAAAAATCCAGAAAATCACATTGTAGGATTTTTTATGAATTTATTTGCAAATTATGGTGGAAAATAAGTATTTGGTCACCTACAAACAAGCAAGATTTCTGGCTCTCACAGACCTGTAACTTCTTCTTTAAGAGGCTCCTCTGTCCTCCACTCGTTACCCGTATTAATGGCACCTGTTTGAACTTGTTATCAGTATAAAAGACACCTGTCCACAACCTCAAACAGTCACACTCCAAACTCCACTATGGCCAAGACCAAAGAGCTGTCAAAGGACACCAGAAACAAAATTGTAGACCTGCACCAGGCTGGGAAGACTGAATCTGCAATAGGTATGCAGCTTGGTTTGAAGAAATCAACTGTGGGAGCAATTATTAGGAAATGGAAGACATACAAGACCACTGATAATCTCCCTCGATCTGGGGCTCCACGTAAGATCTCACCCCCGTGGGGTCAAAATGATCACAAGAACCGTGAGCAAAAATCCCAGAACCACACGGGGGGACCTAGTGAATGACCTGCAGAGAGCTGGGACCAAAGTAACAAAGCCTACCATCAGTAACACACTATGCCGCCAGGGACTCAAATCCTGCAGTGCCAGACGTGTCCCCCTGCTTAAGCCAGTACATGTCCAGGCCCGTCTGAAGTTTGCTAGAGTGCATTTGGATGATCCAGAAGAGGATTGGGAGAATGTCATATGGTCAGATGAAACCAAAATAGAACTTTTTGGTAAAAACTCAACTCGTCGTGTTTGGAGGACAAAGAATGCTGAGTTGCATCCAAAGAACACCATACCTACTGTGAAGCATGGGGGTGGAAACATCATGCTTTGGGGCTGTTTTTCTGCAAAGGGACCAGGACGACTGATCCGTGTAAAGGAAAGAATGAATGGGGCCATGTATCGTGAGATTTTGAGTGAAAACCTCCTTCCATCAGCAAGGGCATTGAAGATTAAATGTGGCTGGATCTTTCAGCATGACAATGATCCCAAACACACCGCCCGGGCAACGAAGGAGTGGCTTCATAAGAAGCATTTCAAAGTCCTGGAGTGGCCTAGCCAGTCTCCAGATCTCAACCCCATAGAAAATCTTTGGAGGGAGTTGAAAGTCTGTGTTGCCCAGCGACAGCCCCAAAACATCACTGCTCTAGAGGAGATCTGCATGGAGGAATGGGCCAAAATACCAGCAACAGTGTGTGAAAACCTTGTGAAGACTTACAGAAAACGTTTGACCTGTGTCATTGCCAACAAAGGGTATATAACAAAGTATTGAGAAACTTTTGTTATTGACCAAATACTTATTTTCCACCATAATTTGCAAATAATTTCATTAAAAATCCTACAATGTGATTTTCAGGATTTTGTTTTCTCATTTTGTCTGTCATAGTTGACGTGTACCTATGATGAAAATTACAGGCCTCATCTTTTTAAGTGGGAGAACTTGCACAATTGGTGGCTGACTAAATACTTTTTTCCCCACTGTATTGAAGCAACATCTCAAGACATCAGTCAGGAAGTTAAAGCTTGGTCGCAAATGGATCTTCCAAATGGACAATGACCCCAAGCATACTTCCAAAGTTGTGGCAAAATGGCTTAAGGGCAACAATGTGGAGGTATTGGAGTGGCCAACACAAAGCCCTGACCTCAATCCTATAGAAGATTTGTGGGCAGAACTGAAAAAGCGTGTGCGAGCAAGGAGGCCTACAAACCTGACTCAGTTACACCAGCTCTGTCAGGAGGAATGGGCCAAAATTCACCCAATTTATTGTGGGAAGCTTGTGGAAGGCTACCCGACCCATTTGACCCAAGTTACACAATTTAAAGGCAATGCTACCAAATACTAAATGAGTGTATGTAAACGTCTGACCCACTGGGAATGTGATGAAAGAAAGAAAAGACTGAAAATGAATTCATTCTATCTACTATGTAATCTGAAAATTTCACATTTTTAAAATAAAAGTGGTGGATCCTAAACTGACCTCAAAAACAGGGAATTTTTACTAGGATTATAATGTCAGGAATGGTGAAAAACACTGAGTTTAAATGTATTTGGCGAAGGGTATGTAAACTTCTGACTTCAAATGTGTGTGTGTGTGTATTATGTATAATATATATATATGTATATATATATATATGTCTCTGTATATAATATATGTATATATATATTTATTATTAATATATATGGGTATAATATATATGGTTATGTAATAATGTATATGTATATATTAGTATATATATATATGTATAATATATGGTAATATATATATGTATATGTATATGTATGTGTGTGTATTATATGTGTATATATATATATTATATAATATATATATATATATGTGTATATATATATATATATATATATATATATATATATATATCTATATATTATATTATGTGTATATATATAATAATTATTGTCAATATATATATATATATATATATATATATATATATATATATATATATATTAGGGCTGTCAAAAATAGCGCGTTAACGACGTTAATTAGTTGTTTGCTGTTAATTACGTCAATTTTTTTAACGCATTTCACGCATGCGCAGTGTGACAAATTATTCAGGTCAGGAAAGTGGTTGGGAGCTAGAGGCGAGATGGAGCAAGGTGAGCAAAGTGGGCCTATTGACGGATTCAAATATAAAAAGAATGATGATGGTACAGTTAACAAGTACAAGGTTATTTGCAAGATTTGTAAGAAGGAGTTTCAATTTCACCGGAGCTGTTCAAGCTTGAAGTACCATGTCAACGCCAAACATGCGTTTGCTGGGCCGTCAGATTCAGCAAGTGGTTTGCGCCAGACCACGCTGAATGTTTGCAGGCAATTAACAAAATCAACCTCAGATAATTTGACCAACACAATAGCAAAATGGATTGCAAAGGATTGTAGACCCATTAGCATTGTAGAAGACTCAGGTTTCCTTGATGTTTTGCAAGTGGCGTCTCAAGACTCATTCTATAAGCCACCGTCAAGAGCCACAGCCAAAGACAAATATTATGGTGTGTAGTATGTTTCAGCTTGATTTAAAACACCATTATTTGGCTGTGTTAATAAACAGACATAATATGAAAATTATGTATCTGTGTCCTGTTATTTATCTTTTGGTATGCATTTCAGAAAAAAAATGGTTAGGATTCAGGTGTAATTGCAAATAGTGATTAATCATGATTAATCCACTGAAAATTCTGATTAATTTGATTAAAA